AATGGGGCAGTGGTGTGCCCAGCTACCCAGAAGGGGCTGAGGCTACCACTAGAAGGCAAAATCAGTTGCATGGCCTTTACTAGCAGGGTTTCCTATGAAGCCAGTGGTACAAAATGCTAGGAAGAGAAGCTAAGGTCTGTAAGCGTATTGGGTATTGTGGCACTGTCCCCTCTAGCCATGTTGTTGGGGCTGGTGTTCATTGATTGTAGCCCCACACACATGGCCACAGCCTGCCTGATAGACTCCTCCCCTCCCTGCCATCTTCATCCAGCTTTTGCCACTGGGCTACCCATGCTGAGCCAGCCTGGTGGCAGTCACCTCACACAGATGTCCACGTTGGTGGACTGGCACCTCCAGATAGGAGCAATCCCAGGCACAGACTGTTCCAGCTGCCGGGGGGATGCATCAGGGAGGATCTTGTCATCTGCAGAGTCTCCCAGATACCAGTTCTTTCCACATTCAGGTGCTGTTGAAGCTTGGGCAGTGTTGGCAGTTGGGAAGCTGGGCTTTGAAAATGTCTGAGGGACCATTCATACAAGAGAAGCAGACACAGCCCGTTAGTCACACCGAGACGCTGAGTCTTTTTTTTGCAAAGACATGCAGAGAAAGTCTCTTCCTTTGGCTCAGGTATACAAGTTTCTGGTAAGGGCTGTCTCTCTGAGCCAGGGTACATCCCACCAAACCCACACAGCTTGACCGAGCTGTCAGCCCGGAGACTTTGCAATGGGCAACTCACAGACTGACAGCCAAAGTCTTCAGAAACTCCTTCTGGGTGGTGGGGCGGGAGGGAAACGTGGCGGTATAGCCTTGTCCACCATGCACTTCTTCGCTCCCTCCCTTTCAGCCCTGTCCTTTCTCAATACCCAGGAAAGATTAACTCCTCTCCGCGTGCCAGAGAAAGTTATTATCATTAATGAAGAATTAAAAGGGAGTGATTAATAAAGGGCCCTTATCTGACAGCGAGGAGGAGGCTGGACAATGGGAGGAAGATGGAGAAAATGAAAAACAATAAATATGAAGCGTAAAAGGAGGCGAGCACTGCTCCCACTTGTTAGATCGCAGCTGCATCTCCTGAGGGGGGAAGGCTCCAAATTGCTAATTACTGCCTCTGAAAAGACCTCGCTCTGATATGTTTTCTGCTGAAAGGTTCCCATTAATGAAGCAGCGATGATGCCGTTTCCCTTTGACTTGCCTTCAATTCCCTCCCTGAGCTTCCTCCCAAGCCGGGAACAATGAGGCCCTGGGAGCT